AACAAATATAACCATGATGTATAAATTCACTGCATAAATTTACATAATTTGTATTGTAATGGGTTGTATTTATTTATTTTTTTCATTCCTTTATTTAATTAATTCATTGCATTACAGTAGTATTACAATTTTGTTAAATACCTGCTTAATTATTGTCTTATTCTTTCATTTAAAAAACTGTAATACAACCATGACGTATAAATAGATAGCAATTTATAACGTCATTAACTGGCATTAACATAATATCAACATTTTTGTTTACATTATTGTGATGAGATTTTAAATTATTCAGCTAATTCATTACATTACAGTAGAAGGTACATTTTGGAAATATCTGCTTAATTATCATCTTAATGGTCCCAAAATGGTCTAATTTTGCATACGAAACATAACCAGGACTTGTTTTGTTCAATTCACCCAATTCTTTCCACAAAATGTTGTGTGCATTGTTGTGAATTTCTATGCTAAAAACAAAATTCCTCAAACACAACAGCATCAGAAACCACCCATTTAAAAACAATTAACTTGTTATGTCACATATTCTTCTAAACCTCACAGATTAGTTTTTAATCAAACCCTCCACTATTAATATCAACAGCATATGGGCTATATTGTCTACACAATATAAACTCTCCATTTACAGGAAAAACACATTGGACCCGGTTCAAGCTTTCCAGCAATTCAGGAAGACCAGCACAGCATGCGCGGGGAGGACAGGGTCTCCTTCTATTGCAAACGCCGATTGTTCTTGAACGTCAAAACAACACACGTTGGGCCTAGCATGGCCTGGTAACAAACAAACAAACAATCGAAATTCTTCGCTGTGGCGCTGGACACAATCTGAATTGTTTGATGGTGAAAAAGCCGGTGCACAGCCAAACAGCCAAGCTGGGTGCACGGATTGGCCTCCGTGACATGAAACCGCAATAACAGGAACCACTAACCGACCTCTGTAGCAGTGCAGATAAGAGCCGTGCTGAATGAAGCCCAGAACGCACCGTTACTGTAATGATAACAACAGAATAGTGACTGGAATGCCAAAGATGCAGGTAATAAAACAAACACAGTCTGACTTCAAATAAAAGGTGGAGAACTGATGGAATGTGATACAAACAAGCCCATAACAGCCATCCCAGCACACCTTTAACTGACTCTGGAATGCCATTAACTATAAGGATGTGTCAGATGAAGTGTTTCTTTTGACAAGCCGAGAAACCACACAAAAGCCCGGGCGAGTGCTGGTAGTTTCCAGTGTAATGGAAAACTCATTTGAGAAACACTTCATAGATTACTCAGAGTATGTTATGTCTGTTCAACCGTGTGAAAACTCATAATTTCTAAAAAAACAAAACAAGATGCGTCAGATAGCATGACCATCATCAATATAGCCTGGCATTTTGATTAATAGTCTAGCTCGTTAAATTAATTGTGTTATGGAATTTAAATGGATTTTACAAAAACAGTGTGAAGTCGCTACTTGATTATGTCATCATGCAACACAAACAGTTATAGAATGCAACAGTCATACTCCGGAAGTAAAAACGATATTAATTTTCTCAATAGGAAAATTTATTTTTAACGATAACTTATATAGTGGATATATATAGACGGACATTTTGTTTGCTCCAATGGATCCTCTGCAGTGAATGGGTGCCGTCAGAATGAGAGTCCAAACAGCTGATAAAAACATCACAATAATCCACAAGTAATCCACACGACTCCAGTCCATCAATCTTGTTCAGTGAAATGCTGTGTGTTTGTAAAAAACAAATCTATCATTAAGACCTTTTTAATTTCAAACCATTGCTTTCAACTAAAATACAAAAATACAAGCCCTCTATACACAATATTTCTTCTTCTGGTGAAAAAGTAATCTCGACTGAATCAGAAGAGAAATATGCACAGATCAACCACCGTTCATGAGACAAAGCAGTTCAAAACAGTTCTAAACAAATATGCTTATGGACTTGTTGCACTGGAGGAAGCATTATTATGGATTATGGACTTGTATTTTGGACAGATGTGACAACTGAAATTAAAACATCTTAATGATGGATTTGTTTCTTACAAACATGCATCTTTTCATTTCACTAGATTTTGATTGATGGACTGGAGTGGTGTGGATTACTTGTGGATTATAGTGATGTTTTTATCAGCTGTCTGGAGCAAGTGATAAGTGCTAAATTTCTCCAAATCTGTATGGACAAACAAACTCATCTACATCTTGGATAGCCTGAGAGTGAGTACATTTTCAGCAAATTTTCAATTTTGGTTGAAATATTCTTTTGTTTAATTTATTTTTAAAATAATTGTGTTTCCACATGCAGAATTCGTAGGATTTACCCATGATGCTGTACAGAAAATTCCACCAATCTGAGCCCGCAACTTTTTTTAAACTCCTATGGGAAAAATGAATGGGAAAAAATAATTATGTGTAACCAATACCGCTCAAAAAGTTGGTCCCTTTAAAACTGTCCCTTTAAGCAGGTGTGCCAATTTTCAGGGCCCTATAAATAGTAATGAGCAGTATTTTCTAAAGCATGTTAAATCCAATATTTTTTCTTGTTTTCCTAGAAGCAGGCATTGATTTTTAAATGCTAGTCAGCCCAAATTAATTGTTAAATTGGAAAGCCAAAATAATAGTTATCAGCTCTTATGATCTGAATGGGAAGAGAGAGCAAAGCGTCAAGTCTTCGGAACTACACCTTACATAAGTGCAGCGAACAGTGTTTTTTCTCAGTTCCCTCATCAAGATCAGGCTAAACTACAGCCACAGTCTCATCAAGTTAACATTCGGTTCTGTAATGCGCCTGGTGTAAACACAACAGCATTATTGCCCAGACCTGCATCTCCGAGTGCACAGCCTTGCCCTCTTCACAACTATAGATTAATCACTACAAATACAGACACACAAGAAATCATCCTGTCTTCAGGCGTTGGACGCGTGCCAGTACAGAAACCAGATATAGGGTCAATGGAGAGCCAGTGCCTGAATGGGCTGGTCAAGGCTTGTTTGTACAATTCTGGTCCACCTTTGCATATATGGTCTCTGTTCGCCCTTATTTTCACATGTTAGACATGTTAGTAAACACATTAAGGAGTGGTTGAACTGACAGTTGTGCTGGAACAGGATTTTTAGATAGGGTAGACACCTCAGTAAAATACACAAAACAACTATTCATAAATTACGCTTCATAAATAGATCAATCAAGCTGTCTTTCATATTCAAAATACAAATACAGAGTTCTGGCAGAGTTCTGAGGTCTAACTCAATCTGACCTAATGACATCATTATCACATGGCACAGATGATTGGTTCTCTCCTGTATCGGTAGCCAATGAGCTCGCTGCTCAACATTCAAATATATGACTAGTGCTTGCCGTAACAGTTGCAGCTTGCTTCAGAAACCCTCCACCTTCCCCAGCTCCACCTGTATAGATCTGCTACGAGGTGAGTCATGTATGCTATATGGGGGTTATTTCATGTATGTTATATTTGCAGCAGCAGTATTTCTTACATGCTCACAGCAGCATGTTGTGGATGTATTGGCTGTAGCAAGTCTCGGTACTTGCTCTGCCGCAGCAGCAGCAGCGTAGCAGATCTATTCCGCCAAGACCAAATACATTAACATTGTCATGTACATTGCCATGCCAATCCCTCCGAGAGTTCTCATGACAAAAATAAGATAATTTGGCAAACAAGACAAATAACCAATATTTTTTTTTTATAATGTGATGATTGTCTATCTACTGTATCTATCTATATATTGTATAAACTATAAAAAATGTACAATACATTGTTTAAATATATATCTATCTACTGTAAAACTAATATAATTTTTTACAATATGATGATTATCTATCTATCTATCTATCTATCTATCTATCTATCTATCTATCTATCTATCTATCTATCTATCTATCTATCTATCAAGAATTCTGTGGTCAACACATGAAATCTGTGGTACATGTTTAGTGTCATGCCTGTAGCACCAAAGCCATGAAACTGTTCCAAATTTGCTGGAGCACAGCATGACAAATAACAGGAAATCACCCTTCAAATTAGTGGTCTTGCAGAATTAATACCTAAATGCGGGAAAACCAAAGGGTTGAACCAAACTAACACCGTGTTCTCCTCTGACAGAATAACAATGCCCCTGCCTGACGCCCATGTTTGCCTTTCTGTTCTTGGCTGTTTGTGTGATCTACATTTGCCCAGGAAAGCAACTCACTCCATCTTTGATTCTTGTGTCAGCTCTGCTGGCTTCATCTGGGGTGTATTTTTGGGATATGTTGTTGAGGACAGTTTTTCCTGTAATAAGAGAAAGAACAGACTGTGATTGTGATGTTCTGTGCATGTTAAGTATATTTCCAAACAGGCTGATACAAGTTCAAATGGATCATCTGTCTACTCCACTGATCCCAGACAAACCACAGCTCATTTACAGTCTACTCATGACAGTTAGAGATGGCTGCATGTCTGACATCTGTATGCATACTGTGACCTAAAGTGCATTCTTGTGATTTTTGCTCTTTCTGTTTTAATTGCTTCACAAATTGAGATCATCATCATTATAATGCACGTATTTGACCCATCAAAACAAACAGATCAAGTCAAAAATGACAAAATCTTCAAGATCTTTGAGTACACCAAATTAAAGAAATTTATTTCAGTGGTGCTTTAAAATGGTATACATTTATAGATCATCTAAAATGATCTAAAAGCATTTTAAATATTAACATTTGGTAGAAATTCATTCACCCTCAGACCATCCAAGATCTAGAGTTTGCTTCTTCATGGGAACAGATTTGGAGAAATTTAGCTTTGAATTTAGCATCACTTGCTCACCAATGGATCCTCTGCAGTGAATCGGTGCCATCAGAGTTTAAACAGATTTCAAATAATCAACAATCCACAACATGAGTCCACTCGATCAATTAATGTCTTGTGAAGTGAAAAAATTATATGTTTGTAATAACCAAATCCAACATTAAGAGGTTTTTCATTTCAAACCATTACTTCTGGCTAAAAAAGGAGTCTTCTATGTTCAATCCATAATATACTGCTTTCTCCAGGGGAGATTTTACAAGAGAAAACAGTCCAAAACAGTTCTAAACATATATGTCGGTGGATTTTGATGTGAGAGGACAAAATGGGACTTTTTCACTGGAGGAAGTGTTATTATGGATTATGGACTATTTTGGCCAGAAGCTACAGTTTGAAAATGTCTTAATGATTGATTTGTTTCTTACAAACACAGCTTTTCATTTCACTAGATGTTGATTTATGGACTAGAGTCGTGTGGATTACATGTTAATTGTTGTGATGTTTTTATCAGCTGCTCTCATTCTAATGGCACCCATTTACTGCAGAGGTTCCATTGGTGAGCAAGTGATGTAATGCTAAATTTCTCTGTCCCGATGAAGAAACAAGCTCATCTACTGTACATCTTGGATGGCTTGAGGGTGAGTAAATTTTCAGCAAACTTTCATTTTTGGATGAACTATCAGCATCAGCCATCAAAATGCTGCTTGGTCATTAAATTTACCACCTTAAATGTAAGAATTCAAAAGAAATATTTCTGTTTGTAAGATGCCATATCTAGTTAACTCTTAAAAACATCAGCGTCTGTGTGTGATGCAAATGCCCCTAAATTTCTCTAATTATATAAAGCTTCTTTAAAAAACGATTATTCATTCACACAACTCACCAACTAGTACTGTAAATGATGAAATTGTGCTGTTAGTGAATATTCAATGTAGATAATGTCAGAGTGAAATAGGAGGTCAGAGAGATCTTGCATAATGTTTCTCTATGACTTCAATTCGGTGAAAAGGCATGTAGAGGCAATGGCGTCTATAAAAACAAGCCCGGTATGCTGAACACGTTCCAGTCAGAGGACAGACAGGTAGACAGAACAGAGCCAGTTACCAACAACCAGATCCATGTCAATCTGGATGACCTATGACAGCACATCCATGTGAATAACGTGCGCTCCATTTCTGTGTCCTGATGATGCAAACAGCACTGACTGGAAGTGGGAAAGTGGGTGGCAAAGTGGTTTTGAAAGGGAGCCCAGAGGCCTAGAGAAACATCTTCAGACTTTACACTCTACAGTGAAACCGTAGACAAGCACGTCACTTCGCAATTTTGGCAGAAACTGAGGTAAAGGTTGCATTTTGCGTCTTAGACCCCGGGTATGTATAAATATTTGCTGAGCCCATGTTTGGTTGCATAGGGGATTAGGGAAGCCAATCTCTTTGCACGCTTCATTCCTGGACTCACGCCATTGAGACGGGATGCATCAAGGACGGCGTGCTGCAAAGTTCACAGTTATTGCACAGAGCGCCGCATTCATGACTCTCGCCTGTATGCGGGACGGCTCTTACAAAGTGTGAAGTCACGAACACCACATGGGATTAATGTCAAATCAAGTGGAAATCATGTCACATCAGTCAGGGTGCACATGTGCTCATCAAAAATACCTGCGTGCAGTGCAGCTCACATTCACAAATCTGCTCACACAGTTCACACGGGATGGAGAAAAGTGAAATGCAAGTGCAAAAGAAGGAAAGAAGTTTGAGTATTGCTCATTTTTAAATGTAAAACGTAAAGAAACTGTACCTATAAATATATATTTACATACACATACTACTTCACCTCATCATTACAGACTGCAAATTAATTGAATAACATTACTGCACATTGTTTTGTAAAGTACAAATTTACTTAACTAAATTAACTATAAAGGACATGAATCTGCTTTAACTCATTCTCCCCCATTGCTTACAATCTCCCTCTCACTGCTAATAAACATGAAGTTGCAAAACAAGACAATAAGAAGTTACAAATGGTTGTTGTGCATCAATGATGGGTGCTGTTAAATGTGACACTCACAACACAATCACATATTCCACCTCACCACAACTCAGTTTTTTATAACTGGTGAGAGATTTCAAACCAAAATGGCTACTGCTCTTCTTGTCTCAAGTGTTTAGCCTCATAGCATTAGCAAGGGGAAAAAATATTACTGTTCTAGAAACAGATTAGATTATGTTATGTGATGAATTGGACATATGCTTGAGAAACCTTGTCAAGCATTCTAAACAGCACAATTTTTAAACTAGAGTACCAGCTTACCAGCTTTTCGAAATGGCTCCTCTGAAGGCCAGTGATGTCACTTCCTATTTCCTAAAGTGTATAATATAAATAAAAGTGTATAATTCATTTTTTTAATTATATATTTAAGCTTGCAAAACACAATGTGTGTGTATGTGTTTAGTGCACTTAAAATAAGGTCATACACTCTAAAAAATGCTGGGTTAAATACAACCCAGCGCTGGGTAAAATAGGGACAACCCCAGCAATTGGGTTGTATTTAACCCAGCATTTGTTAGAGTGTAAATGATTTTAGAACATTGCTTTATAGGCAAATGAAAGCATGGAATATTATAGCATATTGTGCGAAGCAGAAAGGAGATTCTTGAGATGTCAAGGCGTGAACCAAGTGAGAATAAATAATAAAACAGGTGGAATGTTCAGGTCAGATTTCTACCAGCAGGTTTACTGCATGGCTGTAGAAAGACGTCCCTCATGGCTTATCATGCACAGTGTTAACTAAAGTGAAGAGAGGATGTTTTTCAACCCATTATCATCTGCCGAAACCAAGCTCCACCATGGATGTCAGGGGACTTTTTCATCTCTTATTTTCATGAGGGCTTGAAACATTTCACCTCTGCTTACTAAACTTCAGGGCAGCTCTCAGAACCTGCCGTGTTGCATCCACAACTGCGTGCAAGGTTTGTTGACATCCATTCACAGTTCACCATCAGTATTAATGTACATTAGACCAGCTAAAACCAACAAATCATCTCAGATTGGTTACAGCTGGTTTTTAGCAGGCTATTTGCCCACAACACCTCCCTGTTGAAAAAAACAGCATATGCTGGTTAGGTATGTTTTGAAGCTGGGGTGCTGGTTTGAACTGGTCCTTTGCTGGTTTATGCTGGTCCTTAGCTGGTCATGTGCTGGTCCTAAACTGGTCTGACCAGCTTGAGACCAGCACATGACCATCTAAGGACCAGTTTAAACCAGCATTCCAGCTTCAAAACATACCTAACCAGCATATGCTGTGTTTTTCAAAAGGGCTGACACTGTAATTGTAACTTCTGCACCAAAAAGTGGCCCTCACATTTTCTTCAGAAGTGGTTGAACTCCTTTGCAGACATTTGTCTGGTGTTGTTGTTCACATGCGTGCATCAACTTACCTGACTCCTCTCGTTGGATACTTACCAGTTCCTCTTCTGGTGTCCTCTCAGCTCTCTGGGTCCATTCTCCACCTGCAACGACATATATGTTAATGCTCAAGCTAAGTTATTTTTTATATTATACGTTATACGTTTATAAATAGTATTTGATATTTAAGTGTGCAAACACCTTTTGTGTTTAGTCCCCTTAAAATGTAGATATAAATGGCATTTCTTTCTTTGTATCTGTTTTTCTCGCTTTCACAGGATCAGAGATGGCAGGCTAACCACCACAGGTATGTGATTATGAAACGCAAGACACTACTAAATGTGCCAGCATCAGTGAACGGTGAAGTGACATTCTCACCAGACCACAAACACACACAGTGACATTCAACAGGGCATTTGCTATGTTTTTTTTAAAATGGTACATTGAATGACTAGCTGACAGTGCATTTTCTTATTAAAGAAAATTCAGATTCTATTGTGCTCCAAAACTGAATGACTGTCTTTAATTGTATACTTGCATCCTGAGAAAAAGAAACTACAATATAATGAAGAAAGCACCTCAAATGAGAACCGCCCATTTTTTATATTATACGTTTATAAATAGTATTTGATATTTAAGTGTGCAAACACCTTTTGTGTTTAGTCCCCTTAAAATGTAGATATAAATGGCATTTCTTTCTTTGTATCTGTTTTTCTCGCTTTCACAGGATCAGAGATGGCAGGCTAACCACCACAGGTATGTGATTATGAAACGCAAGACACTACTAAATGTGCCAGCATCAGTGAACGGTGAAGTGACATTCTCACCAGACCACAAACACACACAGTGACATTCAACAGGGCATTTGCTATGTTTTTTTTTAAAATGGTACATCGAATGACTAGCTGACAGTGCATTTTCTTATTAAAGAAAATTCAGATTCTATTGTGCTCCAAAACTGAATGACTGTCTTTAATTGTATACTTGCATCCTGAGAAAAAGAAACTACAATATAATGAAGAAAGCACCTCAAATGAGAACCGCCAAGGTGTTTTTTGCCATGTTGCACAGTGTTATCTTCTGGGCCATCAGCGTGGTTTAGAGTGATGGCTTTAGTCCAGCGGAAAGAGGTTCTCCATAATCCTGGCGTGAGTTCAACTCGAGCATTACATAATGTTTGCAGGAATGTGCCAGAAGAAAACTGAGATCTGATTTGAGATCTGACTGAGATGTTAGGAGAGTTAAGCAGTTTGGTTCCAAAATGCAAATCATTGGATGTTTTAGCACAGTAACTTTGATGTAAGAATTTGGCTGGAATGCAAAAACAGCCTGTATAAATCTACACTCATACATGCATTCATTCAAACACATGCACGCATTTAAGAAGCCATGTATGTGTGTGGATTTTGCAAGCACTAACAAACCATATGTAAAGACACATTAAACAAACACATTTACCCTAATCATTCCTGTGAATTTCTCTGGCGTACAGAATGTACTGTAGGCCCAGAGCAAACTTGACAGTGATTTGTCAACAGTCTAATCCAAGCCAGTGCTATCAATCACTGTGTGTGTTTAAACCTTAGCCTGAAGGTGGATTTGAAATCTTGTTTCTATAATTGTATAGATCATTGGTTCTCATCTGGATTTTTTTTCAGGACGCATGATTTAAACCTTAGCCTGAGGGAGGGTTTGAAATGATCCTGTATCTAAAACTATACAGATCTGTGGTTTTCAACTGTATTTGTTTGAGAATTGTTTATAAAAAAGTAAACAAAAAATGTCCTTAAAGTAGTAGTTCACCCAAAAAAGAAAATTTGCTGAAAAGGGATACTCGCCCTCAGGCAATCCAAGATGTAGACGTGTTTGTTTCTTCATCAGATCTGGAGAAATGTATCATTACATCACTTGCTCGCCAATGGATCCTCTGCAGTGAATGGGTGCCGTCAGAATGACTCCAGTCCATCAATTAATATCTTGTGAAGGGAAAAGCTGTGTTTTTTGACCAATTAAGATATGTTTAACTTCAAACTGCTGCTTCCGGCTGAAGTGCTCTATCCATAATATTACTTTCTCCAGTGAAAGTCATTTTGTATGAATTGGGAGAGAAATATGCACAGATCAAGCACGGTTTCATTTGTAAACTGTTTACACTGTTTCATGCAACCTGTTGAGTTTCTAAGTGACAAATGAATTTGCAGTTTTGAACCTGTGACCCAAACAACACAAGAAAAGTTAGTTGTTTTCTACTCCTTTTAAAAATTTGATAAACTTAGAAAAATTATAGTATAGAGCTATAAAATGAAAAGAATATAGTAGCTCAGATCATTTGATGAGAAATGTTTGAGTTCATACTGAGACTTTGGTATCTTGGTAGCAAATCAGGGCAATTAGACTTCAGTCAAGAGACACATTTTTAAAAATTCAACCATTTTATCTTATGATTTTCTTATAAAAAAAATATTCAGCAATGAATATCCGCAGCATCTCTTAAGAATCTAGCTGGAATATCGTCCAGCCCAGTTGACTTGGACACCTGAAGCTCTTCTAGCATTTTAGTAATTTGATTTACATTAACTTTAGTCAAAGAAAAACTATTTGGCAACACCCCTTGTTTTAAATAAAATCTCTTAACAAAATCAATCCCGTAATTTCCTTTGGACAATGGAAGCTTATCAACTAGACTATTAGCAATTAATGAAAAGAATGAATTAAATTTATTAGCGACTTTATTTTTATCAAATTCTATCTTGCCATCAATATCTAGACCTACCTTAGATACATGAAAATTAATGATGCATTAAATCGATCAACATTTATAATGTTAAAAAAGATTTATATTTCAAATAAATTGTTTTGAACTTTCTAGAAGATTTCTAGAAAAATGTAACAGTTGTGCTGTTATCAACACAAGAAAATGTTTCTTGAGCAGCAAATCAGCATATTAGAATGATTTCTGAAGGATCATATGACACTGAAGACTGTAGTGATGATGCTGAAAATTCAGCTTTGGTCACTGAAATAAATTATTTTTTAAAATATATTGTAAATCTGTAAATCTGGAGTGTTTCACGCTTATAAATTTAAAACACAATGTAAATCAGTTAGTAGTATGAGACGATAGTTTGTTAAATTAAGTCCTTTATTCTTTTATTATGAGATGTCTTCGAGAAATCATCCAGTGACAATGGCAACTGGATATATTATCCTGTTTATGTAATGTCACCTGATACAGCACCAACATTTGTCATGCACTGGATGTTTGCTTCAAGGCCAAACGCTCTGGCATAAACCGGCTGGAGGTGTTTGCGCCTTACCATAGCAACAGAACCTGATCGCGCTGGCCACGCAGGAAGTGCTACAACAAGGACAACAGGAAGTGCCCTGGCTCCGTCGGCCAGGCTTCGAAGAATTCCAGGAAGTTATTGTACTGTGTGGAATGAGCACTGGAATGCAGTATGTCTGCGGAGCAGCGAGGTCCCCGGCCTGTTGTGAGTCACCAGGCGATGGCTTTTGAAGATAACAGCCCTTTTTTTTCATGCATATGTGGCATAATACTGGCAGAGGCCTTTCTGGGTCCTCCATCGCCCTCACTGCGTTTCATCTTCACATTATACAGAACAGGGTTATTATCGTTAACTAAAACTTATTAAAAACATTCTTGTTACTTGAAATAAAGCTGAAAAAATTAAATATAAATATTAACTGAAAAACTTAAGCTAAATGAAAATTACAAATGAGTTCAACAAATAAGTTGAAGTACTAACTACATTACTGGAAACTAGAAAAATAAATAAATAGTAGGCCTACTATTCGAAAAATAAATAAAAATGGCAAAGGCACATAAGATACACACACAAAAAAAATTTAATAAAATATAAAACTAATATATAAATGTGTGTGTGTGTGTGTGTGTGTGGAAGAAATTTGTTATGGATATTGTATTTCTCTAAAATAA